GCAATGGGCTACGTAACAAACGTCTTTGACAGATGAATATACGATAGACTGAACTTGTCTGCTCAGAATAAAATGATCTCAGCCACATAATCGAGTCGACAGAAGCATTTCTTTTTTACTTTAGTATCGAGATGGTTTAGTCATATGAATTTACTGTTACCACAATAATTGTCGTTTAAGAGACAATTCATATTTCTTGCAGCCATATGAAATATTGCTATTAAAATGACGATGAATGTAGAACACTTACCATAAAAATCGAAATATATGCAAACGATAACAAATATTCCGCAAATACTGCACTTTTATAAAGAGATTATGCTAAAAAACGATAGCGTTAGAGTACAATTGTAAATGTAAAAGAAAAATTCTGGACAAAGAGAAATAATACTCATCTCGTTCTTCTTTCTCTAGATAATTGCCACACAGTGTTGATATGCTTCACCGATTTCGTTTAACCGACACAGAAAAAATGTCATCGTCCATTCAATAATGATGGCAAAAGAAAGAAAGAGAAAACAAAGCCTTCAGAGTAAACTAGATGATGAAAAACTTTGGACAAAAAAATGATAGAGATGGTTTTCAAAAGGGATTATTTATGTATGAGAGAAGAAGAAAAACTAAAATAAAACTATGAAGATGCATACTATCTATAGATATACGTCTATAAGAAAGAAAAGTGACAACAAATCATGAAAGAGGAACAATGTAAAACGAAAAAATGAATGTATGCGCACACGAAAGAAAAATGAACTGAGAGATTAGGAAGAGTGAACAACCTCTAAAAAAACCTAACTGACGTCTAATTAAGTGAAAAGGAGAGAAAGAAGGCTTGGAAGGATCTGAGAATGAGAACTAATTAGAGCAGTATCCTCCGCAGTCAAACGAAGAATCCTCACACGAAAAATATACCAGAATGCCACCCTGTGCTGTAAAAACGGTGAATGCGGAAAAATGCGCTACTGATCCTGGACCAAGCTATAGGTTGTTCGAAAAAAACCTAGGTTTTTCAGCTAAAATCTATTTTTTTTTGTAGAATTTTTCCCCATGAACCAGCAAGACCGATTTTTTTTTCTAAACTATCACAGATGGCTAAGCAATGCTAATAATTGATAAAAATGGTTTAGGAGCAAAAATTCACATCTCACAAAAATAACACGGTGAATTTTCTTCTGTCGACCTTTGATGTAAAGCGTGTTTTTGCTGAGACGAAAGCAGATTTATTTGTCCTCTCTAACAAAAACTGAACGCCTGTAATCGTTTATGAGATGCCGCCACAACAGTAGCGAGTCTGTAGCTTCAAGATGTCTCGGTAATGAAATGCCGTGAAGAGCTCATAAAATGACAAAATGCGTGTGACTAGAGGCTAATACAGCCCGACTTTATATTTTACTTTTCCAAATAATGACAGGCACCAAAAGTCTCATTAACTTGCAGAAAGATATTTGTCTAACCACAAATCTAGATCGAATATCAAAAATGGGCTCTATCACCTTCTTGCCAAAGCTGTTGGTGTCAGTTTTAGATCAGTCCGAGCTCTCCACGACGTTAGGTTACCGTGAAACCTTGCAGGTACGAAATATCATTTCGAGAAAAGCGCAAAATACTTTTTTCTTTCGAAAAATGTCAAACGTGATACATTCGTACTGAAAGGAATAAATATTCATCTCAAACTTTGACATACTTCGTACAAGTGTCAAATGACTTCTAAAAGTTTCAGTGAGCCGAAAAACTGGCCATACACCTTAGTTCTCAATCATAATAGCTAAGGTAAATCCGAAAAGCGGTATGAATAGCTGGAAGAGTTTCCAATTTAACGTGATACATTTAAAGTCCCATCAAAATTGCATGTAACCTAAACCTTAGAAAACCAAGTCACCGAATTCGATTGAGAAACGTTCTGCAAACAATGTCAGTATATAGAGCAAATGTTTCTGAATAAAATCAGACATTTCTGTATTCTCAATAGCAGTTTTTTGTTTGTTTCAGGTTTCACCCTCCGGCTTGAATAAATATAACGCTGTCACGTTTTTCCCATACTATTTCTTGTTTTTTTTTATATCGGTTTTGAAACTTAGTTTCTATGGACAAAACAAAGAGCGTAACGCTGTTACGACAAAAGGCCCTTCAGGTGACTGAGAGATTTTTCCACGAATGATAACGAGCCATTTTATTACCTCAGGAGATTCTCTAAAGGTGTGCATGCTAACAGTTCTGTTAGAGAGAGTGGACTCTAAGTATTCTTGCAAGATTGACGCTCTCCCTTTTTCTCGAAGGGACTTGGATGGATATGAAAAAGCTCTTCAAATATTCGTGTCATGATCCTTCACTAATAGTATTGAGGGTTTTCATGATGCTTTTCAGACATTCTGTTTAATTCCCAGCACGAAAAATTTTCAGGAGATCTGCTAATCACTTCCACTTTTTCCATGGCTTTTAATTTAAAAAGTTTTTTTGGAAAATCTGATACGTTTTTGTAGATTTTCAAGGATTTCAGAAGAGACCCTTAGAGTTTTCAAGGCTTAGAAAGGATTTTGACCTTTGTTTGGTAAATCTTTCAGCGCAAATCCTCAAAGATTAGGTAGTTCAATGTGAAAAAAACCAATAAAAATGATTTAATTATTTTGAAAATTAATTAATAGTAGGGTCTTCTATTAAGCCCTGCATTTCCGATGGAGTCTTCTAATATGGAGAGGTCTTCTATTACAGTGGACGGGTTGTCTCAGTTTCCTATGTAGCATAGTTCGCTAGATCACGAGGTGCACATTTTACTAAAAAATGAGGACAACAAAAAGAAAAAAATAAACTAGATTGCAATTGTACTTCCGCACAAGTTGCGATGTCGACAGACCATGTCATATTAACCGAGACAGACATAGAGATCATTAAAAAATTGAAATTAAGAATCTCTACTCAGCTTTTAAATATCTTACTGTTTTATTTATAAGGAACAAAGAATTAAATAATAATTATATTTCGTCTTAAGAACAAATGGCACCGGACAATCAACTTTTATAAATGTACGAAAAGTTTCTAAGTCCAAAAACCATTTTAGTTATTAAAAAAAATCCCAGCAAAAGCACATCATGTTTGTTGACATAATAAACTAGAATGCAATTGTGCTACGCACAAGTTGCGATGTCGATAGACAATGTGGACACTTCCAGCTATCGAACATTATGACACATGTTTAAACAGTAACTTTTCACAGTATCAATCAGCAAGAAAACCAGCACATTTTTGAGGCTATGTGCTTGGATAACACAATACCAGAGTAAATCATCCTTTAAGCAAATACATAAAAGATAAGAAGGCGTACATATTATAAAGAGACTTGTAGCAATTTCAGCGGGGTAATTATCGGTCCTTTTTTCTTATTATTATTCTAAACCTTCAACAATCAATGAATAAACTTTTAAAATCATTTCTCTTTTCAATGAAATTCTTCGGTGTGTCTTTAAGACACACAGAAGTTCTTTAACATAGAATTTAAACATAGAATTCTATGTTTTAAAGAACTGGTAATTACTTAGTATACCTTTTATTAGATGTATGTGTGTGGAAACAGAAATTCACTAGTTAGAAGATATGTACACAAATTTCTCAATTCTGTCTCCAAATAAGAAAAAATGACGCCGTACAACTAATAATAATTAAAAAGCTCGAAGTCCAAGACACTTTTTTCTTCCACTTGCGGAACTCATCTCGCCAAATCTGGACGGTTGTCTAAAATCCAAAGCCTTGGTTTGGATTTTCCTCACCGGGAAACTTACCGGAAAAATTCAAGTTTTGATAAATATCTTATCTTGATATAACGCCCAATTTTATTGTCGATTATCAACATTATTATATTGATTTATATTGTGTTGAAATAAGAAAATAAGATTCAGTCCCGATTCGTCGACACTCACTCTCACACCGCCCCTCCCGCTTTTGAAATTCTTTGATGTATTTTCTTTGAAGTGTCCGATTTGTCGACGAATCGGGACGATACCAGAAAATAAATATGTATTTAATGTAATCAATGCTATTGATGATTGTTTGAAATTATATGACATTGATGTTTCAATTATGTATGTGACAGATGATTCTGAATATTTCTGGATGTTAAATGCATTTCTTTCTTCATTTCAAATGAGCAACACAAGAAAAGACACAGAACAAAATTTCAACAAAAGAAAACCATGAAACGGAAAAGAACACTAACTGAAAGTGGTAATGAAGACATAAATGGAGAAGATAATGTTCCACTGAAGAGAACATCTGATGCAGTAGAACATAAACCTTCACCTAATGAACACAACAAAAATTTCATTGATCAGCAAGACAAACAACATGATGAGAAAATAAAATTTCGTAGTGAAAGTTCATCAAGTTCTGAGGAAGAAGAGGAAAATCAGAATATCGAAGAAATACTGCGGAGCTTCAATCTCGATTACTTTGCAATTCAAGAAACAATGAAAAAAAATATTTTGAAAAAATATTTGAGCATGGTGTCATGCATAAAGGTGGAATCATGAACATAAGTTCTGGTGCTCTGAAGGGTCGTCTTTCTTTTCGTCTATTCGCTTTTAAACTTTTGAGAGTCACATGGCTCATGAACTCATGCTGACTTGATAGACTTGACTTCTATTCCATACTTGGCTGCGAAACACGTACCCAGTCTGATAAACTTTTCTGATGTTCGGTAGTAACAAGATCGAGTTACAACAGAATGAATAATAATTCAGACAGTACATTCATTCGACTTACAGGCAATGGACTTAGTGAATCGATGCGATTCACGTTATTTATTAATTAGATTTAAACTGTGGTCTGAATTTGGAATAGAAAGTTTGTTCTCTTCACATACTTTGTACACTGTTTATAATTTCGAATCACCATATAATTGAGAATGATTGACTATTATAGACACAGAAGCTGATTGAAAGGCGTCATCTCGATTGAGAACAATTTGAAACTGTGCATTCTTGCAGGAGAACAATATTTTATAATCTATCTCAAAGGAGAACATATTCAACTGCTGCATTCTCGTATGAGAACAATTTATAAACTTATTCCTAAAGGAGAACATTTTCAAACAATAAACTCTCGAAGGAGAACAAATAGCCACTGCAATAGATACTAACGCGTAGTGATTTGTTATAATAAAGAATATAAACAAAATACATATTCAAGCTTTCGTATCCGAAATGTTTGTAACTGTCTCCAGCGCGCTCGATAGAGACTTGACCGGACTGATTCATATTTTGAAACTAAAGCACAATCTGCTGTACTTTTTTTGTCGTTTGACCTACAAGAAAATATTATGATCCAAATTCTCTATAATCTTTTGTGCTCGCAGCTTACCATCTGATGAATGGCACCTTCGTACTGATGTGGTATTGGTGAAATATCATCTTCAACTTTTCGCTTTAAATCCTGTACTAGTGGATGCTCAACCTTGACTTCTTCATATGCACGGTTCCCACGTTCCACCAAAACTGCTAACGTCGTTTGGTTGACTACTGTTGATGCACAACAATTACGGCTAAATCGATACAGTTGATATTTAGTTACAACAACAAAATAGAAGCAATACTAAGCAGACAACTTACTCAGTACAACGCCACGTTTCAGTGCCATCAACCTTACGCGTACGAAACCGATAACGATACGTTTTATACAATAACGACTTATGATCATCTTTACTAGTATCCTCAGTAGCACATGATAATGACATTTTTGTTTCTCAGTAATGCTTTGCAAAGTTCATCGCTTTTATAAGGTTGAACGTTCACCATGTTGATCGTCTTGGTATTCTTTCAATCTTTTGAACTGCCTTATGGTGGTCTAAACAGTCTCTTCAGCTCCTTAATTA